CTCCAGCCCTTTTTCATAATTTCCCTTACATTCCCCAACCCCTCTCATCACCAGATTATTGTTATTATTTTTTTAGAAACAGCGTCTCACTCTGCCACCCAGGCTGGAGTGCAGTGGTGCAACCTTAGCTCACTGCACCCTCGTACTCCTGGACTCAAGTGATCCTACTGCCTCACCCTCCCAAATAACTGAGACTATAGGCGCACACCACCACATCTGGCTAATTTTTCTGTTTTTGTAGAGAGGGGGTCTCACTCTTGCTCAGGCTGGTCTCAAACTCTTGGGCTCAAGCAATTCTCCCAATTTATCCTCCCAAAGTGCTGGGATTATAGGTATGAACCATCACAACTGGCCTATTTTTGAAAAAATTTAAGTTTGTTTATTTATTTATTTGTTTAAGAAATGAGATCTTCCCCTGTTGCTCAGGCTGGAGTGCAGTAGCATGATCATAACTCACTGCAGCCTCGAACTCCTGGGCTCAAGCGATCCTCCTTCCTCAGCCTCTCGAGTAGCTGCGATTACGGGTGTGAGTCACTGTGCCTGGCATTTTTATTTTTTAAAATTTTATTTTTAATTGACAAAACCAGTTGTATTCACCAGATTATTTTAAAGCAAATCTCTGGCCAGGCATGGGAGGATTGCTTAAGGCCAGGAGTTCAAGACCACCTGGGCAACATAGTGAGACCTCAACTCTACAAAACATAAAAAATTTAGCTGGGTGCGGTGATACCCACCTGTAGTCCCAGCTACTTGGGAGGCTGAGACAGGAGGATCACTTGAGCCCAGGAGTTTGAGGTTGCTGTGAGTCATGATGATGCCACTGCACTTTAGTCCAGGTAACAGAGTGAATCCCTGGCTCAAAAACTCAAAAGAAAAAAAAATATTCAAATTCTCATACTGCATTTTCTTTCATCTACTAACACTTTGGATCTTACTTATAACCAATGAGCACACATTTTTTAAAAAAATGTTATTATATTTGCTTATTTTGTTTTGGTAGGTTGGTTGGTTTGCTGCTTATTTATTTATTGTGGTAAAATACACATTACAAAATTTGCCATTGTAACCATTTTTAGGTGCACAATTCAGTGGCATTAAGTACATTCACGTTTTTGTACAACCATTACCACCATCTATCTCCAGTAGTATCTTCCCAAACTGAAATTCTGTATCCATTAAACAATAACTTCACATTCCCATTATTCCCCAGCCATCCTACCTCTATCTCCATGAATTCAGTACTCTAGGTACCTCATATAATTGGAATCATACAATATTTGTTCATTCGTAATTGTCTTATTTCACTCAGCATGACGTCTTCAAGGCTCATCTATGTTGTAGCATGTGTCCAGATAGCCTTCCTTTTTAAGGCTGAATAGTATTTCATTGTATACATTTACCACATTTTGTTCATCCAGTAATCCATCAGTGGACACTTGAGTTTCTTTTACCCTTTAGGCGATCATGAAATATACTGCCAATAAGCATAGGTGTACAAGTATCTGCTTGAGTTCCTGCTTTCAGTTATTTTAGGTGCATACCCAGAAGTGGATTTGCTGGATTACATGGTAATTCTATGTTTAATTTTTTTTAGGAGAGCACACATTTTATAAAATATAACTGCAGTTCTATTGCACACCTGAAATTTTACCAGTAATTTTTTAGTGGCATAGGCTTTACAGTTTCCCAAGAGACGGTACTGTTGTGGTTAACAGCTGAGCCAGTGAGCCTGCCTACCTGGGACTTGGGCAGATCACTGGACTATCCTGTGCCTTAGTAGCCACGTCTATAAAACAGGGGAAATAGATTGAGTGTGATGGTTAATTTTGTGTGTCAACTTGACTGGGCTAAGGAATGCCCAGATAGTTGGTAAAACATTATTTCTGGGTGTGTCTGTGAGGGTATTTCTGGAAGAGATTAAAATTTGAATCAGTAGACTGAGTAAAGAAGGTCTGCCCTCAGTGTGGGTGAGCATCATCTAATCTGTTGAGGGCCAGTATGGAACAAAAAGACAAAGGAGGGGAAAATTCTTTCTCTGTCTTCCTAAGCTGGGCCATCCATCTTTTTCTGCCTTTCAGACATCTGCTCTCGTGGTTTTCAGATCTTCAGACTCAGGCCTCTCACCCTCCGCCATGTTCTCAGGCCTTCGGGCCTTGACTGAATTATACCACCAGCTTTCTTGTTCTCAAGCTTGCAGATAGCAGATTTTGGAATTTCATGGCCTCCATAATTGTGACAGCCAGTTTCCATAATAACTATCTATATCTATACATGTCCTATTGGTTCTGTTTCTCTGGAGAACCGTAACTAATACAGTAAGTTAGTATACATGAAGCACTTTGGGCAGTGTCTGCTCACTGTAAGTATGATCTATACCCTTGCCTCTATTATACACTAGTCAGATATCAGTGTGGCCAGTGAGAACTGTCAAGTATGTCTAATTTTTGTTCTATGTAGTTAACCCAGGGATGAATCCAAAATTTGGGAGCCTAAACTTTACTTTGTACAGAAAAGACCACAAAACTAGACATACATACACCAAATAAAAAAAAAGAAAGAAAAATTTTGTATGAAATTTATTTAGAATCAGAGAAAAAATTCACAGCAAATGATTGGAGTCTCCAGAGACCTCTTTAACCAGTTGATCTGAAGTGTTTCCAGGGGTGTCCTTGTTGATTTCAGCCTGGCTTCCCCTCTCACCTGGGGCTGTTTTGAGGTTTAAATGAATTATCATATGTAATGTGCTTAGATTGGTGTCTGGCATAGACCAAGTGCCCTATGAATGTTAATTATAATGGTTGGTAGGTCCATTCTCTGAGAGGAAATATTGGAAGAGAAATAGTTCAGGGAGGAAGTTGGGGGAGAATGTGATGAGCCCAGTTTGGGGCAAGAGTTTGCAATGCTTTTGAGAGATCCAAGAAATGACATCAGATAGCGCTCAATAAGTGTTTGATGGTGATGATGATAATGGTGACAACAGCGATGACAGCTACTGACTGTGGTCCACACAGGTCTCTGTATTGTTAGCCTGCAAATCAGGCAGGCTGCCTGGGAGCTCTGAGGATGCCGGCAAGGGTTACCACTCAGCTGGTTTCACTTCAAGGGGAGCAGGCAGGGAGCTGCTTTCTAGGCCCAAGGCTCCCAAATGCCAGAAAGTTGGTGTCTGTATGGTGAGAAAGCCTGCCTCTACCCTAGCATTCCTTCCTCTCCAAATAGTTACTTCAGCTTTTTTTAGACAAGAGTCATCTGGCTTTTCAGCCTAGGGGTAAAATGCTGGGGTTGGAAGGTGGTGGCAGTAGGGTGAGACCCAGCTTTGCTTGCCTGGGGATGGGGGAACTTGGAGGGGAGTGTGGGAGCCACAGCCACCCCATCAACCAAGTGCTGCACTGCTTGCACAGGGCTGAGGAAGGGAAGGTGAGAGAGGGAGCTAATGGAAATAGACCTTCCAAAGGCAATTCCAATTAATCTCTTTTTCATTCTTACTCTCTGTTAACTCTGCCTGTCTTGACTCTGCAGCTTCTTTGGAGCTCTCCTACCAATTGTCTCCTTCCTCCTTTGCAATCTGCTCCCCCTTCCTTACGTCCTCTCTTTCATCCACCAATAGGCTTCCACTCTCCACCCATCCATCAGAAATTTGGGTGAGGTGTCTTCTTCATTGGTGGTGCCCCCTCTGTGCTTGTCTTGGTTGTGGGTCTCTTCTTTTACTATCATTTATTGGGTCTTGGCAGGGAGAGATGATAAATGCTTGTGTTCAGTTCTCTGTTCCTAGTGGATGCATTTCTACAGATGTCTACAAATACCTTTTACTTGAATATTGCATCTCT